TATATATATATATATATATAAAAATACTGACCCCAAACTTTTGAACAGTAGTGTATATTCCAAGTTAAAAAGTATTTAGTACAAATATCATGAATTAATCATTCAGAAATATCAATGGTTGCACTACATGACTTTGATTTGCTAGACAAAAACTTTTCAAATATTTATAATATTTTAACAAAACCGCCATCCTTCAATGAGACTTTTCTTGTACCATTCTAACATTTTAACAATGAATTGTGAAGAGTTTATTATAAAAAGCAAATATGATTTTAAATTTTAAAGTCAATTTTGATTGCATCTTTACTAAAGGCCCGTTCACATAACCTAATTCTATAAAATAGGGAAGTTCACACCACAACTCTAACGATAACGACACAAAAGAACTATAACATTGATATCCAGCTGATGAACGATAAAAACATTGGCCGGAGCTCAAACATTTAAAGTGGCAGACGACATAACTGCAGCGCTTTCTTAATAAACAGAACGTTATCGTCTGTTGGTATGGACACTAATATAGTCATCGGTCTTGGTGTGAATGAGCCTTAAGTCATAAGTAATGGGATTCCGGTGTGAGTTGCTAACCTTATACACATAGAGGTATTCCCTGAGGAAAGCAGCCTGCTGTACAGCCGACTGTTTGCTGTCATTGATGAGAATGTGCCGGAAGGCAGCCACTGCGTTCTCTGGCTGCCGCAGCGTGAAGGACTGCCGACCGATGGTGAAGTTGATGTGATCTTCAGCCAGTGTCCAACCTTTACCTTTATACACCTGCAAAGCCTGGCTGTAGCACCTCAACGCATGTCTCTTCTGTAACAGAGAGAGAGAGGGACAGTGTGAACTGACTGACATGTTAAAAGAATGCGCTTCACTTCATGTTACTGCGACGCTCAATAGCTTCACAGCTGTTAAAGCAGCGTCAGCATCCAGGTGAAAACTGACAGCCTGACCTCATCTGACTCTGTAAACACAGTCGCTTTTTTCTGATCACTTCAGAGCAGATGGCATTTCAGACAATCAATCTACATCATTTCCAGCAGGATTTCAGTATTTGATGCTCAGTGATTCAATGTAATGCTGACAAGGGCAGATGTGTACATTTTAGCAAAGTGTGTTTCTTGCATCTGCCATCATACCTGTTCAGCTTTGCTGAAACGATGACCAGCCAGTATCATGTGGAAGGCAAACTTCCTCACCATGGGGCTGCGCATATTAATGAAGCAGTGAGCCGCCTGCTCCAACAGGAGTGCACTCCGCAGATCAGAGTCCTGTCAGAGAGGGAAAG